TCGGCGTTTGCCTTCCGCGTGATCTCTCTCGTTCTTCGTCGCACTCGGCACGGAGTGACAGAGATGTCCGCGTAATTGTAGTTCGTTCGCGCGCGCGCCATTACGTCGATCCTTCTTGTTAATCGCTGCAAATTCGTTGCAGATATATTGTATCGACTACTCGGCGCGTGCACGTGCACCCGGCGTGATATCTCTCGTCCTTCGTTGCACTCGGCACGTCGCGACAGAGATATCCGCGTAATTGTCGTTTTGCTTGCGCGCGCGCCATCATCTCGAGCCCCCTGGCTAATCGCTGCATAATAGTGCAGCACTTATTAATTAGGAATAAGCGGCGCGTGCACGCTTCGTCCCGGGTGATCTCTCTCGTCCGTTCGTCGCATCGGCACGTCGAGACAGGGACATCCGTTGATAATCGTACATTCGTTGGCGCGCGCGCCATTATTCTAAAAATCTGCATAATCGTTGCAGACCTTGTCGTCAAAATTAACATTGCTCAAGACGATCGAATATTCGAGTATATTCCATCGCCATCGATTGTTTGTTCAAACTCGAGTCGTCCGCCCCTTCGGCCTTGGCGAGCGGCGCGGTGTTTTCGCCCATTGTTTGATTGTTTTGGTCTCCGCATTCCGAAGCGAGACATACTTCGTGCGTTTTTATTGCTGGCTGCCATCGCCTTCGTTAGCTATCTCTGTAAATATCTTACTCAGCCTTCACGATGAATAAGAGCTGTAAATCGCGACGCGAACTGTGCGTTCGGCGTATGCAAGAAATCCATCAGTATTCAATGCTCGCGATAGACAATGTGGCTATGAGACCAACATTTATCGTTCGTTATCCGACCGTGGCCCAATTAGTTCAGGACTTTGAGGAGGCTTACCTCCAAGTAATACAGGATGCTACTGATGAAGACTTCGCCATCGAAGACGCGATACGTGACGAGTTTGACAAAATGCGTTTCGCGGTAATAGGGCGGTACGAAAGCTTCGTTCCCGCGCGGGGGACCGACGCGTCCTTGCGGGGTGCGCCGCCAGCGCATCACTCAGCGATCAAATTGCCGAAGATTGCTCTCCCTCAATTCACGGGTGATTTTGCCCTATGGCCGTCTTTCATTGCCCTATTCGACTCGGCGATCCACGAAAACGATGGCGTCTCCGCCATCGAAAAATTTCAGTACCTGTTGGCCTCGTTATCGGGGGAGGCTTTCGGCGTCGTGAAAAACCTACCCCTGACCGCGGAGAATTACGCGATCGCGTATGATGCGCTTCGAGAGCGCTATCAAAACAAACGCAAATTAGCAACGCAGTACTGGCGTTCGTTTGTACACGCCAAGTCCTTAGTCACGGATTCCGCCGAATCCCTCCGCGTGTTATTGGACGTATTCACCGAGAACACGCGTGCCTTGAGTATGCTGGGTTATTTTGTGGAGGCGTGGGATTTTATGTTGCTTAATCATTTATTAGAAAAGCTCACTCCTACGCTACGGGAGAAGTTCGAAGCAACCCACGTGTCGGTGGAGCCGCCCCGGTACGATCAATTGACGAAGTTTCTAACGGGATACTGCACGGTTCTCGCGTCGGTGTCGGACTCTTCTGCAGGGTCAAACAAATCGAAGTCTCAGCCGTCAAAGAAGTCAACTACTTCGCTTGTTGCGCAAACCGCGGCCTGTCCCAAATGCAAGGCGCAGCACTACTTGGGAAAATGTCCCGGCTTCCTGCAGCTTTCGGTCAGAGAAAGGCACAGTTTTGTTCGTGAGCAGGGACTCTGTTTGAATTGCCTTCGTACGGGCCACAACCTGAAGGCTTGCCATACCTCATGGACATGTAGGACATGTCATGCGAAGCATCACTCCCTCCTGCATTTCGAGCGGGCTAACCCCACGTCTCTCGCGACCACTCCGGTGGTCACTCCGGTCGCTAACAGCCCCGCGGCGCCGGTAGATACCGGAGATAAACCAATCGTCTCGATGGCTAGCGTTTCGAATCGCGTGATTTTGTTGTCGACCGTTCCTGCGGAGGCGCTCGACGTGCATAGCAACGCCTTCCCGGTCCGTATGCTGCTCGATAGCGCGAGTCAGGCGAATTTCATTACCGAGAGTTGCCTTCGAAGGGGCGGCTTCTCTCGGACAAGGCATCGCACGACGGTGTTAGGCGTTAATAAAACTAAGGCCACTACGAGGGGCTTTACCTCATTCGTTATCCGGGTGCCAAATAGATTCGACACTCGATTCCCGGTCGAAGCCACGGTGCTTCCTCGCATCACCTCGCCGTTGCCCAATAACTGTGTCGCCTCCAAGTCGTGGGATCACCTGCGGGGGCTGTCGCTCGCAGATCCGAAATATTATTTGCCCGTCTCTATCGACGTTCTACTTGGGGCAGAATTATTCGTGTCCGTACTACGCGACAATCGGCGCACCGGGAACCATGGAGAGCCGGACGCCTTCAAGACGGCATTCGGCTGGGTGTTGAAGGGCGCGATTGATGCCGCGGTGGGGCAGTTCTGAAGGTTGGAGGAGGTGACGGAACATATTCTATGTTCCGCGGAAGATCGACGCAAGGAATTGTTCGACAAAACCACTTATCGCGATCATTCAAGTCGCTTTGTTGTCTCGTATCCCTTCGTATCGGACCCTCCTATTTTTGTGGATTCTAGGCCGATTGCCATCAATTGATTGCGCGCACTCGAGCGCCGATTCAAATCAAACGCGGACCTTTGTGATAATTATAATACGTTTATGCAGGATTATCTCGATATCGATCATATGGAGTTGGCAACCGAGCCACTTCCTTCGGTCGCGTCTACTATTTACCGCACCATGATGTCTACAAACTCGATAGCACTACCACAAAACTTCGCGTCGTCTTCGACGCTTCGTCAAAATGCTCGAACGGACTATCATTGAATAATACTTTGCTTAGTGGCCCGAAGCTGCAACCTGACATTGTCGCGGTCTTGCTTCTCTTTTGCGCTGAGCCCGTGGCCATTACTGTCGACGTGAAACAAATGTTCCGGCAGATTTGGATAAACCCGGATCATCAAAATTATCAGCGCATCGTCTGGCGCTTCTCGGAATCGGATCCCATACTCGACTATATACTCAGGACGGTCACTTTCGGCACCACGGCCTCTCCGTTTCTGGCTATTTATTGCTTGCTTAAATTAGCCTACGACCATAGGGACAAGTATCCGTTGGTGTACGCGGCGCTCCTCGAATCTTTATATGTGGACGACGTCGTGGCCAGTGTCCGCACCGTCGAACGAGCCATCGAGCTTCGCAATCAATTACTCGAATTATTTCGGAGCGCCGGCTTCGAGTTGCGGAAATGGGCAAGCAGCCATCCCGCCGTGTTGGAGGAGCTCGACCAAGGAATCTGCAGTCAGACGATGCTTTCTTTCGAATCGCCCGAGGATCACGCGCTTTAAAAATCTTAGGCCTTCGCTGGCACTCACAGCTAGACAGCTTCGGGTTACAAATCAACCCCTTGACACGGAAATGCACCAAGCGCACCATTTTATCGGAAGTGGCGCGCATCTTCGACCCCCTAGAATTCTTAGCTCCGCTGACGTTTACCGCAAAGCGATTAATCCAACGTTTGTGGACATTGAAGCTTGAGTGGGACGACGAGCCTCCGTTAGATGTTTGCCGTCAGTAGGAGCGCTATCAATCGGAGTTCGACGCGCTGGCCTCCCTTCGCATACCTCGTACATTCCCCGCGGAAACGGTAACGTTCGATGTGAACTACTAGGGTTTTGCGACGCCAAGGTTATGGGGCCGTGATCTACTTGCGCATCGTCACTCCGTCGGAGACTAAGATTATAATTCTTTGCGCCAAGTCTAAAGTGGCTCCGTTACGCGCGCTCTTTTTACCTCGCTTAGAACTCTGCGCTGCGTTACTCCTCGCGAACTTGATCGCGTACGTCCGTCAGGTCCTACAAGGACACAGAAATTGATGAAGAGTATGCCTGGTCCGATGCCAAGGTTGCGTTATATTGGATTTGTTTTTCCCCGCACCGCTGGAAGACCTTCGTTCGCAATCGCGTTGCTCGGATACAGGAGAAACTTGCAGTATCGGCTTGGGGCCATGTTGCCACTGATTTTAATCCAGCCGATCACTGCTCGCGTGAACTTTTTCCTCGTGAACTTGTGGCAAATTCGTTATGGTGGAGAGGCCCTGAGTGGCTGGTGGATTTTGAGCCCCGCGCCGAGCCGGTTCTCTCGAAGGAATCTCTTCCCCGCGAGGAAGAACGAATCCTATCCCTCGTCGCGCTCGATCCACCTCACTCTATACTCTCGTTATTAAATAAGTTTTCGTCGTTAGACAAAATTTGTAGAATTGTAGCGTATCTCCTAAGATTCACTAGTCGATCCCGGGCCAAACCGGTGTCCGCGACCTTGGCCGTGGATCAACTCAAAGCGCATTCGGCGCTATTAGTTGTAGTAAAACTCGTTCAACCAAATTCCTTTCGCGAATAGATTGATCAACTTCGAAACGGGAGGAGGCTGCCCAAGCCGTTCCTTAAACTCGCTCCTTTTCTGGACCCAACGGGTATTCTCAGGGTGGGCAGCAGGCTCATCCACTCGGGGCTGACGTTCAAGGCCAAGCACCCTGTGCTGCTACCAAATAGACACAGACTTACCAAGCTCGTTATAGAGCAGGTACACCGTACGCACTTACACCCAGGTAGGCGCACGCTTCAGTATTTGCTTGCCCGGCAGTTTTGGATAATCGGGGGTGTATCGCGCGATCCGACGCATCCTTGCCGGGTGCTATAAATGCTTTCGAGCGAATCCTCGCGCGCTCCAACCCCCCATGGCAGCCCTCCCGGTCGAACGGGTTAGTGCGGTCAAGCCGTTTTCGATCAGCGGTCTGGATTTCGCTGGACCGTTCGCGATAGTCCCTCGTCGAGCTCGGGGAGTCTCCTCCTTCAAGGCTTATGTATGCCTGTTCGTTTGTTTCACAATTAAGGCGATCCACCTAGAAGTCGCCTTGTCGTTGTCCACTGACTCCTTTCTCGCTGCGCTGCAGCGTTTCATAGCTGCTCCCACTTGTTCAGCGACTGCAGCACTAATTTTGTGGAAGCAGCACGAGAGCTCGAACAACACATGTGCCATGCAGCGGAGCGAGAAAGGATTAAATGGTCGTTTAATCCTCCCTCTGCGCCCCACTTCGGGGGCCTCTGGGAGTCGAGTGTAAAGTCGTGCAAAACTCATCTTCGACGGGTGGTCGGAGATCAAACCCTATTGACTGAAGAGTTCACGACGGTCCTCGCGCAGATCGAGGCCGTCTTGAATTCTCGACCCCTCTGCCCGCTGAGCACCGATCGAGTTGGATCTCGAGGTCCTATCTCCGGGACATTTTCTAACCATGGAGCCCCTCGTGGCCGTTCCCTCGCCCGACCTGGCTCCGCTCTCGATGAGTCGCTTGGGCCGATGGCAATTAGTACAGCGGATGCACCAGGATTTTTGGAGGCGCTAGCACAAGGAGTATCTTAATACCCTGCAGCAGCGTCCCAAATGGTGGACTCCCGCCAACCCGCTCACTGTGGGATCTTTGGTACTTATCAAGGACGATAACGCGTCCCTCTTGCGCTGGAAGCGCGGCCGTGTGGAAGCGCTACATTTGGGTAGCGATGGCGTCACGCGTGTCGCCACGGTCCGGGTGGCGGCCGGCTTGATCCTGCGCCCCTTGGTAAAATTGTGCCCCTTGCCGATGGGCACCCTACCTCGGGTCGCAGATGCGGAGTCGTAAAATACAATTAAATTTATTGTATTTTGGTGGGCGGCATGTTCGATGCTCGCCTGTATATAGTAGATGTCCGCGTCCTTAGTATTAGTTGTACATACTAGTTGATAAGTTGCGCGTATAATTAGCGTACAAAATCGTAATTCGTGACTCGCGCGAGACGTTGGCGGATCGCGATAGATAGCAACACTCGCGTGACTCACCTGACTCGTGCTACCCGCCCGCGGGTGGCCCGCAATTATTTGGAACGATGAGTACTCGCTCCCGCCGCAATTCGCAGGTGCGTGAGCCGAGGACCACCGGAGCAGACACTCACTGTTCGGAGTTGATTGAGTGAACACCACGCAAATTTTTGAAGCTCGACGAGCCGACTCATTAATCTCGGGTCTTGCTGCTTGCCTCTGCCTGCACTTGAGTGCCTATATCGCTTGTTTGCCCGTTTTGCACGGTTTTTGTCTGCCTGCCTGCTTACACATTGTGCCTGCTGCACATCTTAACCTGCTGCACGCTTTCCGCTCTTCACCACCACAGGGAGGACCGGACGCCACAAAGCTACCACGAGAGCATCGGGCAACGAAACGATGAGTCGCTTTCGCTTGCTATCTCGCTTTTCCTTTCGCTTTTCGTGAGGGAACGATCCTTCTGGTCCTTTAAAAAACCAGCGTTAGACCAAATCGCGAATCCGGGGACGGACTTACACCCCCCCCCCCCGAGCATAGGTCTACAATAAACAGACAACCACCCGCAACTAACAGGAGCCGAGCCCCAGAGCCGCCTAAAGTATGTCCAGGAGCACGAGAATTTATGCTCGATGATATTCTAAATGCGTTACGTGACATACAGGAGTGCGTAAACCACATAGAAGCCGCGAACTTCGAATGCTCCGACGAACTTCTACACGCGGTGTGCAATGTACAGGATAGCGTAAACAGGCTAAAGGCCGCAAACTACGATCGTTCCGATGAACGGGTCAGACGCGTACGCAGCCACGGTCCCTTAGACTAACACATACGGGCGGACGCAAAGCGACGTCCGAAATCAACCAGGACACCACCTCGGGTTCCTCAGCCTAAAGGAGGCACGAAATATGATACCCGAGATAAACGGAGAGTCCCGTGAGCGCGTCCGTGAGTTTTTAAATGCGAGTACCTACGCGATGAAGAACATCCAGCCCTTGGACAAATCGATCCTTTTAGAGGCCATCCTATGCACAAAATTGAAAGGAAAGGCCATGATAGACTTTGACACGCGCGATATTCACGATTTTGAGCAGCTAAAGCGCGAATTAGAAACAGAATATCTAGGAAAGCGCAGCATGACTCATCTGCAATTGAAATTTAACTTTTTAAAACAAAAAATGGGAGAAAGCGCGCAGGAATTTAGGCAGCGCGTAGAAAAATTAGCGCAAGAATTATACAAGGCCATGGAGAAAAGCCAAGGGCACTCGCAAGAGCAGCAGAAAGCGATTCTCGACAGCATTAAGATGGCAAGCCCTTCATAATTATCAAATAGGGTTGCACGACGATATCAAGATGGTTGTCCGAGCGAAAGATATCAAAGCCTACGGGAGGCAATAACCGGCGCCAGCGCGAAGGAAGAGGAGAGAGACACCTTCCCACGGAACGGACAGCCGGCGACTAAAAATAAAAACACGGAAAACGCGCGATATTCGAAAAACGCAACAATACAGTGTTACAAATGCGAAAGCGGATCGAAAACGGAAACTACAAAACAGGCGCCCGTGAGAAAGACAAAGTCG